GTTAGTTGTAGTAAGTACTACGTACTTATTTACTTCTACTTACCTACGATTATTAGTAGTATACTTACTTATATATATATATATATATATATATATATATATATATATAAAGGTACCCTATTTGTGTAATCTTTTATCCAAACAGTGAAAATGTAGCTATTGGACTTTTGTAGCTTTTGGGCTTTAGATCCGTAGACGTCAGGCTCCGACTTGAACCATATAAATCTTGTGTTATCTATATTATTCTCTCTCCATAATCTCATCTTTATCTCTCTTTTACTCTTTACATAATCTTGTGTTATCTCTCGTTTTCTCTTTCATCTTTTCATTCAATGTCTGCCTGTGCTCATTCAATCTCTCTGTTCATGTACTCTCGAATTTAACGACCAGCTCAAAGTATCGTGCCGCGAAAAGTGTCATGCCGCCGCGCAAAAGAAAACCTCCGGCCCCAAGTGTCTGGGAGCGTAAAAGAGTAAACAAAAACACTCGTGCCGCGTAAAAGAAAATCCCTAAATGTCGTGCCGCTCAAAAGAAAACCCCCTAACTGTCGTGCCGCTCAAAGGAAAACCCCTAGTGTCATGCCACGTAAAAGAAAACCCCCTAGTGTCGTGCCGCGTAAAGGAAAACCCCCTAGTGTCGTGCCGTGTAACGGAAAACCCCCTAGTGTCGTGCCACGTAAAGGAAAACCCCCTAGTGTCGTGCCTCCTAAAGTAAGTGTCGTGCCGCGTAAAGGTAAACCCCTAAGTGTCATGCCAGGTCAAAGAAAACTTGAAGTGTCATGCCGGGTAAAAGAAAACTTGAAGTGTCATGCCGCGTAAAAGAAAACTTGAATTGTCGTACCACGTAAAAGAAAACCCCCTGTGCCGCACTTGAAGTGTCGTGCCACGTAAAAGAAAACACCCGTGCCGCGTAAAAGAAAACCCCCCAAAAAGAAACCCCCAAGTGTTGTGCCGCGTAAAAGAAAAGAAAACCGCGCCAAAGAAAACCTCCGTCCCCAAGTGTCGTGCCACCCCCGGCCCCAAGTGTCGTGGGGCATAAAAGAAAACCCCTAAGTGTTGTGTCGGGTAAAGACCCCAAGTGTCGTGGGGCGTAAAAGAAACCCCTAAGTGTCGTGCCGTGTAAAAGAAGACCCATAAGTGTCGTGCTGAGTAAAAGAAAACGCCTAGTGTCGTGCCACGTAAAAGAAAACCCCCAAGTGTTGTGCCACGTAAAAGAAAAACCCC